AAGGTATCACTACAGAAGTAGATTGCCCCATCTTCCTTCTGAGGAGTGGCTGGTGGGTTTGAACCACCACGCTTCTGGTTAGCAGTCAAGTGCCTTAGCCACTATGCTACTAGAGCTCCCTACTTGTGGATATATGAATATTATCCTATCATGGATAGCATCATACTTCAGGATAGACCTTGAGATGTCCTTTTTGACAATGAATGTGATGCCACTCTTCAATCTGTCATTCCCAGCATAGTAGATCATATGATTATCTGATTCAAAATGGCCAGTATCAGTTCATTCCAGCTCACCAATGCTTAGGATATTGATCTTTATGCATTTCGTTTCATTGCTGATGACTCTCAAATTTCCTAGATTCATACTTCCTACATTCCATGTTTGGATTGTTTATGGATACTCTCGGCTCCTTCTCCTCATTTTGAGTTGTGCCACATCAGCAAATCAAAGTCCTGAAAGCTTTGCTCCCTTCACATCAAGGTCGATTTTACTTTGAGAAGGCAACTTTTCTTGTGAGTGCCTTTCAACCCAATGTTTCACTGTTATTCATAATGTTTCCAGTAGCCAAGTTGTGAGTAGTAGACCACTTACATCCTCCTTACTAGTTTTAGTTTGGAAGCTCTGCTGAAACCTGTCCTGCATTGGTGACCTTGCTGGCATTGGAAATACCAATGGCATAGATTCCAGCATCACAGCAACATACAAACCACCACAGTGCAAGAAACTATCATGTATTTATATAGACAAGATATACTCTACAGATGGACTTGAGCTCACACTCTGAAGTTTGTAGCCTAACTGCAAGCAGTTCTTCCAATGTGGTCTCTCTGTATATTTAATCTCATAAGATGATCACTGCTGATTGGGTGCTACAGGAAAGCATAGTGAAGAAATTAGATGGTACCCTGCTATCAAAAAGTATAGTACATTTCTGGGTTCTTAAAAGCTTGTCCTAAAACAAGCAGCCATCTAAAGGACCCATCACCCAGTACATGCAGAAGGCCTACCAACTTAATGTGGATCAAAGGATTTTAAATAATGATCCTTTGATCATGATCAAATGATCCTTTGATCACGATCCATGATCAAGTAGAACAAATGCATTAGAGCTTAAATTCTAAAGCACTTGGTTTGTAAAAGGTTGCAGTATACAGAGGGAGCCCTAACTCCATTTTGATATAGGTTCAGACACCATTTGAGTTTCTCCTGATCATTAAACCAGCAATGTGGCTATGCTTAGACCAGCTGGGGAAGCCCAGGGAGGGCCAGTTTGCCCTCAGGAAGAGTGTAGATGAAAGTAGATTAACTAGTATGATGCTCACCAAAAAAAACTAGGGAACTTCCTTGGGTGTGTCCTTAATGATTTATTGAAAATAACCTCCTTATCTAATCTAAATGTTGGGGTCCTGGTATTGTAACCACCTTGTGGCTATGACTCAGGGCTGCATGATTATGAGTTACACCCCAACCACCATGTAGAAATCCCAAAATTAATCTGTAACATTTTCTAACCTGCGATTATGTACTTATCCTAATCATGGTCCTTTCTCTGCTTCTGTAGTCCCACCTTCAATAGTGATGGATTGACCAGCCACCAATCATGATCTTTTGTGGTATCTTCTGTTCTGTCATATATATGAAAACAATGGCTGTGATTTGGTGGCTCCAATACTCTCATGCTGATGGTTTCCCTCATCTGGATGATTATGTCCATTTTGTCTTTGTCCTATTTAAGGCTTAATAAATGAATCTCTACAGAATGTTTGAATCTGGGAACTTCCCCACCCCCCAGCTGAGGAATAATTACATATATAAATCATAATGTTTTGAAGTTTTATAAGTGGCCTCAGGAAGACTAACTGTATAATCAGTTAACTTAGAATCACTCCATTATAGTAATGCTTCTAATTCACAAATAAGCCAAAGTCCTTGGGTAAAAGACATGGCAGATAATTTTAGTATCTTAGTTTCATTTGGTGGAGATAGGAGGAGGAGCTCAGAGTATCAAGTTTTTTTGCCATTAATTTTTCCTTAAAATAGAAAAATATTTTAATATATAACATTAAAATAACTAATGTTAGGAGATACATCTAAAAACTGATTTTTAATAAGGAAACTGATGGACAGTTTGATAGTGATTAAGTCTTTACAAACCTCCTCTGTGACAAAGGTGTCTGTCAACTGTAAACCAACTCAGTTTACTGAATGCAAATAATGCAACTTCAGGTAATTTCACTTGTGTCCTGAGAGACAAGCCTTGGAAATCCCTGAATATTCAAGATACCTTTTATCATTTGAAAACCACCAGACTACACAAGGACATGTGCAAATTAATGCGGAGAGAGTGGACAGGCCAGAGACCACCTAATAACCTGAAATCTGCTTATCTCAGCAAGAGGGCACGGTTCAATCCATCCCATTAATACAAGCCCAGGGCTGATTGTGTTCTACTCCCTTTCCTCTTCTCTTTAAAAGCTTCATCATAACTAGCCAGATTGAGTCATTTTTCAGAAACGTGTTCTTCCTACATGCATATAGAAAAACTGCTCAAATAGACCCTATGTTTTAATTTCTTTGTTTACGTTTTAATGCAAACTTTAAAGGGGATTTTTTACTACCAGTGAGTGAGGGAGACTGGTTATCAAGCATCTTTGTATTTGGTCAAGGTAGCAGAGACACAAACAATGGAATGTGCAATGCCCAACACTCCAGAAGATATTCTAGTTATTTTGTGCGGTTAGGCCTCATTGTTTCCATATGCAAGGCGAAATGGTAGGTTTTATCAGTAATTCTTATTGGCATATAAGCATATATTAATTACTATGACCTATTAGTCACATTACATCAATTTTTTTTGTTATATTTTTCACACAATGGCTTAACAAGTCTGTTGATTAAGAGTTTTATTAAATAAGTAGACAATATGGTTTTCAGTATAAAATGACTATTTTTCACAAGATGTTGATTATGCAGTAATGCATTTGAACTAAATACAATACTTCCAAACATTGCACACAAAATAAGAACTTACAGATCAAAATTATTTAGTAACAAAATGCCTATTTATTTATTTTTAATTTAAGAGCTTATTACTACCAAATTTTCAAGATCAACAAACAAAAAATATTACATAATATTATGGCATAGGACACCACAAATATATTAGCAATGCAGATAGATTTTTGCTAATGACAGAATGGAGAAAAAAAATCTAAATTAAACCAAAGACTCAGGAAATGGCTGTTCATAAATTTCCAGTTAACTGGAAATTAAATTTCCAGTTAATTGGAAGTTTAACTTTGTAAGGGCTAGGGGACTTTGAACATAAATTTTGTATTTTTATAAAAATATACATTTGCTCAAACATAGAGATAAATTCATGTAATGCAGCAAAGATTTTGTTTTTCTAAATAACTCAGAATCCTTTTGTTCATCTGTCAAATATATAAACATTTTCTAGTTAGCTTCTCAAATTTAAGAACCAATGTCAACATTTTGATGCTGATTCCACAGCATTTTCTTACAGTATTTTTCCTCAAATAAACCTAGGGTCTGTGATAGAGAACACACTGAAACGGTTATTTTACACTTTATTAATGAGTAATTGAGCATATTTACTGAAAGGCTACTATATTCTCAGCTCTGGCCACAGCAAATAGACACAATGCCTGTTTTTGGAGACATTACCATCTATAATACAACAGAATTGGTTCTGAGGAACTGTAAGCTTTCATTTCATCTATTAAGATTTGCCTAGATATTAATTTCCACTGTAAGTAAAAATACTTCCCTGGGCAAGTCATTCTTTGGATTCTCCCAAGGGGAATTTTGAAATTGACAAGGCCTACACTCTGATTTATCTAATTGCATTCTGCTACTTAGGACAATATCAAGATTTTTTTTTTTTTTAATTCTCTCAGGCCTTCTCAACAAGCTTCTACAGTTTTGTCTATACAGTTGTGTTTTTTTTTTTTTTTTTTTTCCTAGACACTATGCTACAGCTTTTGGTTTCTCTTCACTATTGGCCTTTGCTGTACTAGAAACCTGGGCTTCCCATCTTCCCTTTCCTGGCTTCTTATTCACACAGACACTAATCTTAATATTTTCTTAAATGGTGGTTCTTCAGTAAGTATATCAAATTGAATCAGGAGCTCCAATTAGCACTTTCTTGAGCTTTTTTGTGAACTTCTGGTGTTCTTAGCAACAATACTCTCTTCCTGAAAGCCACTTAAAACTACTCTCCTCAAATAGACAGTGACTTAAAAGTGATACTAAAAGAGCTTGCTAAAGGAATGTGTAATTTAGCAAAGGATGCTTCTAATGCATTGCCAAGTCAAGTGTCACCACTAAAAGTATTGAATTCTATAACAACATAGTTATAATGATTTGATTTGAGATGCCAATTTATACATTTAAAGGGCTAGATTAAAAAAAATTCAATTTTTGGTAGTTTGATATGAAATTAAAAATTATATGCACACTGCTGTCTGCAATTTTAAAAATGACTGATACAAAGTTAAGAGAGTTAAGTATCCACTGGTGTGTCTATTTTTTCATCAGAACCTTTATATAATTAAGACTTCAACTATTTACGAGTCTTGCAAGTCAGATCCTTTCAATCAAGCTGCAAACCATGAACCATAGTTTTTAAAAAATTTTAAAACTCAAGGACAAATAATTAAACTTCAAAATTTTAATTTTCTAAATGCTTTCATAATTATCAGAAGGATCCTCCAGTTATAAAAACAGAGACTGATAATCCATTTCCCCCAAATGAACTACCTGTTTATATTGTGAGGTAGAACAGCATGACCTTCCATGATGATGGCAGACACATTTTATAAGCATTCCCTCTTCACACTCTTCTAACAAGAAGGGTTAGAAGAGTCAACTTTCATTAACTATTATTATTTTCATAGTATTTTATGGAGCCTGATTTCAATTTTACACAAAAACAGAACAAATTTATTCTGAAAGTATGTTCCATGTAGCAGCTATTAACAACTTCCAACTCGATCTCTAGGAATAATTCGCAGTTCCGAACCATGCTTTAGAAAAACATTTCCTAAAGAAACAAGAAAAAAAGTTAGTCATATAAAATATTACTAGCTGTCTTAACATTGCAATTACAACATACAATAAACAAAGTACTGAAAAGAAAATATATACAAAAGCCAAACAGCATTAGAACACAATTCTATGCTTTCTAAGACTTATTCCTGTTCCTCTCCTTTTGTCAGAATCCAATAACTGTTTAGCAATTTAAAATAAGTATACCAGCCATGGAGATGTGAAAAATTATAACCAGAAATAACAATGTTATTAATTATATCCTGAATACTTGTTTTAATATACAATAATATACAATCATGGAAAGAAAAGTGTAAAAGTTAAAAACTCTGCCCTACTTTGGTTTAATTCCTATTGCGATTATCTTTATATCCCATAATGTATATATACAAGTGATGTTTAAAAGTTATGATTGTGGTAAAAATATATGCAAGAAGACAAATGCTATTCAATAATACCTACATGTAAAATTCAGTAATGATTACAGTCCTCAAGTTGTGCAATCATTCAGGCTATCCTTTCCCAAATTATTCTATCACCATTAATAAATACCTCGTGAACCAAACTCCCCCTTTTTCCCTGTCTCCCACCCCTGGCAACCACTAATTGTGTTTGGTTTCTACAAACGTTTATGCACAGAAGTGAGATCATGCATTGTTTGTCCTACAACTGTTCGAGGTTCATCCATGTTGTGGTATGTTATCAGGATGGCATTTCTCTTTATTACTAATATTCCTTTGTATGTATATACCACATTTGTCTATCCACTCGTTGATGGACATTTAGATTGTTTCTACTTTTCAGCTATTGTAAAAAGTGCTACAATGAACACTGGTATATACGTTTCTGTTTTGTGTTCCTACCTTCACTTCTCCTGGGCATATACCTAGGACTGGGATTGCTAGGTCACATGGTAGTTCTATTTTTCAATATTTTGAGGTACCACCAAATTGTTTTCATAGTGGCTGTACCAATTTACAGGGAGCTCTGGTGGTGTAGTGGTTAAAGTATTCAGTTGCTAACCAAAAGGTAGGCAGTTTGAACCCACCAGCCTCTCCACTGGAGAAAGATGAGGCAGTCTGCTTTCATAAGGATTTGTAGCCTTGAAAAGCTACGGGGCAGTTCTACTCTGTCCTATGAAGTCGTTATCACCCAGAACCGACTTGATGGCAATGGGTTTGGTTTGGTACCAATTTACATCCCCAGTAGCAATGGCTAAGGTTCCAGTTTCTCCACACCTTGCCAACACCTATTGTTTTCTATTTTCTTTGATTACTAATACCCTAATGGGGGTGAGGTGGTGTCTCAATGTGATTTTGATTTGCATGTCCCCCAAAAAAGCGAGAAAGAGAAGATCCCAATGAGATGGATTGACACAGTGGCTGCAACAATGGAATCAAACATGGCAACCACTGTGAGGATGTTAGAGGACTGGACAAGTGTTTCATTCAGTTGTATGCAGGGTTACTATAAAACAGTAATAATGGCTAATGATACTGGGCAACTTTTTGTGTGCTTGTTGGCCATATTCTGAATGTCATGTTTGGTGGCAAAGATGTCTGTCTAAGTTCTTTACTCACATTTTTATTGTTTTTTTTTTTTTCTTTTTTGTCTTTTTGTAGTTAAGTTGCAGATTTTTTTTTTAGTATATTTTGGATATTAGACCACTATTGGATTTATCTCAGTCTGTAGATTGTCTTTTGATAAACTCCTTTCACTTTTTTTGATAAAAATTAGAATCGATGTATCTAATTTTGTGTGAGGTACCATTTAACTATTTTGTCTTCTGCTACTCATGCTTTCAGTCCATTGTTAGAAAGTAGGTCCCACAGCCTTGCCCTTCTATTTTCTTCTAAGAATTTCATGGTTTTAGTTTTCACATTTATTTTCTTAACCCATTTTGAATTGGTTTTTGTGTATAATATGAAGACTGCATCTTGGTTCATTCTTCTGCATGCAGAAATCCAATTTTCCCAGTACCATTAACTGAAGAAGTTATTTCTTCTCCATTGACTCAACTCAGCAACCTTCTAGAAATCTAGTTGTTTATAGTTTAACGGTTTTATTTCTGGACTCTTGATTTTATTCCATTGGTCTATGTCTATTGTACCAGTGCCAGGCTGTTTTAATCACTATGGTTTTTATAGTATGCTTTGAAATCAGAAAGTGTGAGTTCTCCTACCTTACTCTTCTTCTTCTAGATTGCTTTAACTATTCAGGGTCCCTTACTCTTCCATACAAATTTGAGAACTGGCTTTTCTATCTCTGCAAGGAAGTGTTGGAATTTTGATGGGGACTACAATGAATTTAAAAGCTACTCTGAGTAGTACTGACATGTTAACTATATTCAACCTTCCCATCCATGAACATTTATTTAAGTCTTTAATTTCTTTTAGTAATGTTTTATAGTTTTCTGTATATAAGTCTCTCATCTACCTGGTTAAATTTATTCCTGGGTACTTTATTCTTTTAGATGCTACTGTATACAGTAATGTTTTCTTAATTTCCTTTTATACTTGCTTACAGCTGTGTGGAGCTCTGGTGGTACAGTGGTTAAGGCATTTGACAGCTAACCAGAGGTTGGGGTTTGAAACACACCAACCACTCAGCAGAAGGAAGACTGGGCAATGTACTTCTGTAATGATTTATTGCCTTGGAAATCCAATGGGGGTTGCTATGAGTCAGAATCAACTCAATGGCAGTGGGTTTGGTTTTTTGGTTTGATTGCTGATGTATAGAAACCCAGATGATTTTTGTGCTATCCCTGTACCCGATCACTTTGCTGAATTCATTTACTAGTTTTAATAGCTTTCTTGTGGATTTTTTGGGGTTTTCCATGTATAGAATCACATTATCTGTGAAAAGGGATAGTTTTACCACCTCTTTCTCAATTTGGACACCTATTATTTACTTATTTATTTCAAACCTAATTGCTTTGGCTAGGATTTCCATATCAATGTTGAATACTTTTGGTGTGAGTGGACATCCTTGTCCTGTCCCTGATCTTAACGGGAAAGCTCTCAGCCTTTTCCCATTGAGTATGACATTAAAAACCACTGCCATCTAGCTGATTCTGCCTCATAGGGACTCTATAGGACAGAATAGAATTGCCCTACAGGATTTCCAAGGCTCTTTACCAAAATAGACTGCTTCATCTTTTTCTCATGGAATGGCTGCTGAGTTTGAACCACGGACTTTTTGGTTAGCAGTCAAATGCCTTAACTACTGCCCCACCAGAGTTCCTTGAATATGATGTTAACTGTGGACTTTTCATAAATGTATTTTATAATAAATAAGACTTTTTCTTCTATTCTTAGCTTGGTGAATGTTTTTACAACTGCATTTTTTTTAAAGGTAATACAACAGGCAAGGTTTCAGAGAAAGTAATAATTTAAATCAATATAAATTACTAAGAATTCTGAGAGTTAAACAAAAACTAAAACCTATCTACTATCACTAAATTTAAAGGTATCCATATAGTAAATGACAATTTTTCAGCAAATTACCTTTTAAACTTAATGAAATTATATACATAAAACTAATGATTTAATTATAGAATTTATAATTTTAAATGCCCTTTTATTTTCTATATGGCTGAGTATCAATTCCAGAGTCTATGAGGACAACACAGTTTTAATACAGTACTTTAGAATATAATGATTTAAAAATAGTGAGTGGTTAACACTGAGCTTACACACTATCTCAATAGGCTTCATTTCAAAACACTGCAAATGGATTGTAAACCAACTCCATTTATGCTGCCTACTTGTTATGACATAAATTCAGTATGTTTTACTTCCTAGCACCATTTATTGAAGAGGCTCTTCCTTCCCCATTGACTCAACTCAGCAACCATGTAGAAAACCAGTTGATCATAGATATAAGATTTTAGAGTTTAAAAGATTAAAGTTCTGAGAGTAGACTAAGTAAGTTTGAAATGTAAATGACTGTGCTACTTCAAAATAATAATAATAATTACTTACACTTACTAAATGCTTACTATGGAGAAGGCAACTTTAAAGCACTTTACATGCACTACCTCACAACTATCATTCCCAATATAGTATGATCTGACCATCAGACTTTTTATGTATATTGTTGTTGTTATGTGCCATGGAGTCGACCCGACTCATAGCGATCCCTCCTCGGGTTTCCGAGGCAGTATCACTACGGAAGTAGATTGCCCCATCTTCCTTCCAAAGAGTGGCTGGTGGGTTTGAACCGCCAGCCTTCTGGTTAGCAGTCAAGTGCCTTAGGCACTATGCTACCTTTAATTCTTAAACCATGATTGGCCATGTTTTCTGTTACTTATAGCCAAAGTTTACATTGTTGTTGTTAGGTGCCATTTAGTCGGTTCTAACTTATAGCGATCCTATGTACAACAGAACGAAGAAACACTGCTCAGTCCTACATGATTCCTACAATCGTCACTATGTTTGAGCCTCTTTTTGCAGACACGTACAGGTTAAATATGGGACATAATTCCTAAAAAAAAGTTATTATCATGTTGAAATTGTATCAAATCTAATTAGAATAAATCAAATATTTAATATCAATTAACATACAGCCTCCACCTATACTTCCATGTGTTTTCAAATAAGATACTCACCAGCAGTCTGTGCAGGATTTATTCCAATTCCATCTAGAAAATAAGTTATAAAATCACCTAAGTTATTTGTAAAACTAAAATGGTTCAATATCAACAAGAAAACATTTGCCAAAATAGTGCCATAATACCAAACAGTGCCAAATTTAATACCAAATTAAATCCCAAATTTAATACCAAATTAAATCCAAGAACAGGTTAAGTTATCATTCAGGTAAGTTAACTGTCTATTAAAACCTGTTATGTATATCATATGCATTTATACACATTGCCAGATTAGATAAGAATATCCATCAACGCAATCATCATTTTAAGTTCCATAGCAGTTTTCAATTTGCCACCACATACAGTAAAATATGTATGTCACTTCTTCAAAAAAGCTGAAAGTACCTTAGGGATGTCATTAATCATTCATTCCCATACTGAGCTGTGGCATGCAATTTTAAAGCTGGAGGAGTCTACAAACTCATTTATTTCTGTTCCACTGATACTTGAAAGCTTACAAAGTAGTTTCTTAAGTTACTCATTTTTGAACCTAACACTTTTGAGAAAGTAGGCCAGTTTTCTTCTAAACAGAGAAACACTTCAATGCGACAGCATGAAGAATGTTTTAGAGTGACAGATTCTGTCATATCTAAGCTAAATCAAGCTACTGCATGTTAAGCCAATCATTCCTTGGTATATCCAAAATTCACATGTACCACTCGCCAGTACTCATGAATATTACTTTGTATTCTGGAAATTAAGCACTCTTTGCAATCTTTAAGAGCTCTGGTGGTATAGTGGTTAAAGCATTCAGCTGCTAGTCAAAAGGTCAGCAGTTGAACTCATCAGCTTCTCTGCCGGAGAAAGATGAGGCAGTTGGCTTCCATATATATTTGCAGCCTTGGAAACCTTAAGAGGCAACTCTACTATGTCCTACAGGGTTGCTATGAGTAGGAATAATCTCATTATTTCAGAATTAGAATTAGTTTGTTGTTGTTATGTGCCACTGAGTCGGACCCAACTCATAGCGACCCCTCCTTGGGTTTCTGAGGCAGTATCACTATAGAAGTAGATTGCCCAAACTTCCTTCTGAGGACTGGCTGGTGGGTTTGAACCGCCAGCCTTCTGGTTAGCAGTCAAGTGCCTTAGGCAGCACGCTACCAGAGCTCCTAGAATTAGTTTCACACAATTATTACCAATATTCTAAGATACATAGATTCTAAATTATAAATCATACTGAATCTAAAATCCTCATTACGACAAACTTATAAGGACCAGTTTTCTATCAGGAAAAAAACAGCAAGGTTCACGAAAGGCACATTTCTGCTTAATTTTCTATAATCTAAAGCATTTAGGATACAACTTTACAATAACAAGACAAAACAAAATCTTGTTAAATAAAAATTATGAAGTTATTTTCAGTAAAAATCTGGTATGAAATACACTGACTTAATGTTTTTTAATTTTATAAATACCTATCATTAATGGTGATATAAATTTGGGGCTTTTTGTATAAAAGCCAATTTTAATTAATTTAGTTCCTTTTAAACAAATTCTATAGCTCTGAGGTAACCAAAAAGTTTTAAATGCATTCTTACCATTGGTGATGATTGCAGTTGTTGCTGCAGGAACTTTAAACTAAAAGGGAGAAAAGGAAAAAAAAATTATGTGTGTGTCTGTGTATTAATTATAACTATAAAAGATATCTAGTGAGGATGAGGTGAATAATCAATTCTATAATTCTAAAATGTGATTGATCATTTAGGATAATGTCATGTGCTTTATTTTGTCCTCTAAATACTCCATTTCATTTTATTGATGACACCACTGACTATAAGATATATCTTTAGTTATGCAATACCAAAAGAGTAAAACACTGCCAATGAACCGCAAATCCAATCAATGTTTGTTGTTGTTGTTATATGCTGTTGAGTCGGACTCAACTCATAGCGACCCCTCCTTGGGTTTCCCGGGGCAGTATCACTATGGAAGTAAATTGCCCCACCTTCCTTCCGAGGAGTAGCTGGTGGGTTTGAACCGCCAGCATTCTGATTAGCAGTCAAGTGCCTTAGGCACTATGCTACCAGAGCTCCTAATCAATGTTTATTTATTCAGAATTACTCATATATCACTTTAACCACATATCACCTTTCTGCATAAACAAGAATATAAGCAGAACACATTGGTTACAATATTCCTGAAATTTCTTCACAAAAATGGCAAGTTCTAAAGATGAACTCTTTCTCTTACATTTCATACGAGGTAGCAATGTAAGATTTTTAGGAAATAACCAAAATTCATATTCTTTCCTCAAATGCTCCTTAAATGATTGCTGACTTAAATCTCAGAATCACGAAGAATTGCAGTAGTCTGGTTATACCATCAGGAAATGACAACTAAGGTCATGAAGGTACAGGCAATGACCACCAGATAATCATGTGACTGTAATTTGGTCAACAGTGACAGGAAGATTCCACTGCTATATGGTACATCCTTAGTTCACAGATGTTGTAAAAAGATACATTTGTGAATCAATGGAATACATTATTAAACTTACTAGGAAAGAAAAACAAGGACCCCACTGCTGTCAAGTTGACTCCTACTCATAGTGACCCTGTAAGACAGAGTAAAATGGCCCTACAGGATTTCCAAGGCTCTGGTAGCATAGTGCCTAAGGCACTTGACTGCTAACCAGAAGGCTGGCGGTTCAAACCCACCAGCCACTCCTCGGAAGGAAGGTTGGGCAATCCTACTTCCGTAGTGATACTGCCTCGGAAACCCAAGGAGGGGTCGCTATGAGTCGGGTCCGACTCGATGGCACATAACAACATCAACAAAGTTTACTGAACTATATTGCCACAACTTTCTGCATAAGAGAAGCTGGTGGGTTCCAAGAGCTGATCTACTGGTTAGCAGCCAAGCAGTTAAGCACTACACCACAAGTACTCCCATATTGGCAGCCAGAAAGCTGAATTTTCTCTTAATGTTCTAGAGGCCAGCAGTCATCAAAGTGTGTCTAAAGCTCATTAATTCAGGCAACAAATAATTATCAAGCACCTCTGTGCTTTGGACTAGTTTTAGAGATATTATTTGACTTTTGTGATCAAATATGTTTATAAAATACTAGGTTAAATTAGTGTTGTTGTTGTTAGGTGCCATTGAATCATCTCTGACTCATACCATCTCCATGTACAAGAGAATGAAACATTGCCCAGTCTTGTGCCAGCCTCACACTCCTTGCTATACTTGAGCCCATCATTGTACCACTGTGCCAATCCATCTTGTTGAGAGCCTTCTGCTTTTTCACTGACCATCCACATCACCAAGCATGATATCCTTCTCCAGAGAATGGTCTCTTCTGAAAACATGGCCATTCCCGCTCCAAGGAACATTCCAGCTGCACTTCTTCCAGGACAGATGTTAATTCTTTTAGTAGTCCATGGTACTCTCAGTATTCTTCACCAACACCATAACTCAAAAGCATCAGCTCTTCTTCCCTCTTCCTTTTTCACTGTCCAGCTCTCATATACATATGGAGCTACTGAAAATACCATGGCTTGGGTTACGTGCACCTTAGTCTTCAAGGAAACATCTTTGCTCTTCAGGACTTGAAAAAGGTCTTTTGCAGCAGATTTGCCTAATGCAATACGTCTTCTATTCTCCTGACTACTGCTTCCATCGGTGTTGATTCTACAACCAGGTAATATGAGGTCTTTGACAACTTTAATTTTTTCTCCATTTATTGTGACACTCTTTATTGGTCTAGTTGTGAGAATTTATTTATTTATATTGAGGTGTAATTCATACTACAGACTGGTCTTCAATCTTCATCAGTCAGTGCAAGTCATCCTCACTTTCAGCAAGCAAAGGTGTGTCGCCTGCATACCAAAGGTTGCTAATGAGCCTTCCTCTAATCCTGATGCCACTTTTCCTTCATATAGTTCAGCTTCTTGGATATTTGCTCAGCAAACAGATTGAATAAGTATAGTGATAGTATACAACCCTGCTGCACTCCCTTCCAGATTTTAAACCATGCAGTATCCCTTGTTCTGTTTGAATGACAGCCTCCTGGACTATGTACAGCTTACTCATGAGTACAATTAAGTGTTCTGGAATTCCCATTCTTCTCAATGTTATCCATAATTTCTTATGATCCATACAATTGAAAGCTTTTGCATAGTCAGTAAAACACAAGTAAACATTTTTCTGGTATTCTTTGTTTGTAGCCAAGATCCATCTGACATCAGCTATAATATAACTCACTCCAAGTCTTCTTCTGAATACAGCTTGCATTTCTGGAAGTTCTTTGTCAATATACTGCTGTAACCATTTTTGAATTATCTTCAGTAAGATTTTACTTGCATGTGATATTAATGATATTGTTCGGTAATTTTCACATTCTGTGGGATCACCTTTCTTTGGAATGGGTACAAATATGGATCTCTTTCAGTCAGTTGGCCAGGGAGCTGTCTTCCAAATCTCTTGACACAGTCGAATGAGTGCCTCCAGTGGGGCATCCATTTGTTGAAACATCTCAAAGGGTATTCTGTTAATTCCTGGAGCCTTGTTTTTTACCAATTCCTTCAGTGCAGCTTCAACTTCTTCCTTCAATTCCATTGGTTCTTGATCATATGCCACCTCCTGAAATGGATGAAGATTGACCAATACTTTTTGGTAGTGACTTTGTGTATTCCTTCCACCTTCTTTTGATTCCTGCATCACTCAATATTTTGCCCAAAGAATCTTTCAATATTGCAATCCAAGGGGTAAATGTTTTCCTCAGTTCTTTCAGCTTGAGAAATGCCTAGCATGTTCTTCCCTTTTGGTTTTCTAACTTCAGGTCTTTGCACATTTCATTTTTT